ATTAAATTATAAAATATAAAAAGAAAAGGAAACGGGGCGATGTGTTCTGTACGGGTGCAGGAAAGGAGGAGTGGGTTCGGAACGGGGCAAAGATGTGGGAGCGGCCGCTCACCTCCACCTCCGAGCGCGGAAATTCCGCACCCCGAGGCGCAGTTTTACGCGGGGGAGGGGCGGCCCCCGCCTCCCCGGGCCCTCAGGGGCTCAAACCGCAGTTCGGCCCCAAATGAAACCCCAAATCCGGGCATCCCCGTGAGGCTTTCGGAGCCCTTGTGCGGTTTTTGGAGCCCTCGTGCTTCCTTCTGTTACCCCCCCCCCGTCCCCCCAAAACCCCCAAAAAATCAAATGAAGCGCAGATGCTGAAATCCACGCCTGACCAAAGCTGCTTCTTCTCGTGGAAAAGAATCTATTTCCCCTCGTTCCCCATTTTTACCAACGCAGAACAGGGATCGCATGATATAGATTTGCCTTTCTGAGCCGTGCGGGCACGTCTGGGTAAATTCGGAGGTAATTGTAACCCCGCAGACGCTCTCCGCGCTCTCCACACCCGTATCCATACACACACACACACGCGCTGTGCAAAGGCGAACGTATTTCACACGTCCATAAATAAACACGGCAAATACTTGGGCTTTGAATTTGGTCATGAGAAAATCCTGGCACCAACCCCGGGCCAAATATTCGTGTCTGAACGGAGGGGAAGAACGAAGCGGAGCCCGCAATGGTGACAACGTCCCCAGCGCTGCGCGAGTGTCACTTTTGGGAAAGTCGCTGGTTGAAAAGAACTTTATTTAAGCGAACACACCTTGAAAATGTGCTGTGTGACATTGGCACCGCTTTCGCGTTCGGAGAAAACCTTTTTATGTTACCAAGCCCTGGAAATCCCCTTTGAAACCCTATCTTCCCCCAAGTGCTTCGGTTACATTCGAACGTTAAGATCTCTTACCTTCTGCGCGGATAAAATACACACACAGATCAAAAGCAACAAAAGCTGCACCAACATTAACGAAAACTCGAGGCAGAAAACGTATGGAAAGGAAACAACGACAACAGAAAGGGACAAAATCCGCCCCACGTTGGATCCGACCATTGGAAAACGCTGCAACCGAGGAGGAATTTCTCCCACAACGCGAATATCCGGGCCAAGCGCGCCGTGCACCAACGCACCCGCGTTGAGCTGAGCGTCTGAACCGAAAGGAAACCTTTCTCTCCACCGATTTCATTCCCGATTTCCACCCTCACGACGACCCCGGAGCGATGGGAATCCGCTTTGGGGTCCAGCCCCAACAAACCCTCCCGGTGCAGCGCTTGGTGCAGAGGGGTTTGCAGCGTCGTGGTAACCTTGACGTTGCGTTTTGGTGCAACCCCGGACTCAACCCCTCTCACCGTTCCCCGTTTGGATACGCAGCTCTTTATTATAACAATAATAATCAAAATAATAAAAGGGTGACAAACGGCAGCTCTGCGCTGTGCTTTGAGAAAGGCCGATTTTAGGGGGTGTGGAGGAGGTGGTGAAGGAGAGGGGGAGGGGGGGGGGAAATACGCCAGAAGAGGGGTTCAGCACAGAGATCGCTGTGCACGTTGCACACGGCGGCCACATGCATGCAGCCCCGCATGCACAGCGCTGCACCTTCCTCCATCTCCCTCCCTCAGCGCAGCCCCGCACACAAATTCCCACCCGCGCTTCGATCCGCTTAAATCTGCGCGGCTTTCTCTCGCGTTTTCACCCCGACATTCGAACGCGTTTCGACGCGTCCCGTTGGCATCACCTCCGTTTATTGACCCCAGAACAGCCCTGGCACCCGGGGCAGAATCAGACCCACGTCTTCAAACGCACACAGCCTCACACACTCACACACACACAGATTTTTCTTTTTTGTTTCAGCGCATATGCAATCTCCACCGCGAAAATAAAATGTGGCAAATGAAAGACTCTTTTCAGACCGTCCCAAACTTAAAACATCTGCTCAACACATCGAAGCGTTGGGTTTTTTTTTTTTTTTTTTTTCCTTTTCTCCAACGAGACTTCAATTCGCCAAGAAAGAAAAAAAGAAATCCTTTTTTCCTCTCCGAGCCCCAACGAGAACCTCAGCGCCCGAACGAGGCGCAGCGCACAGATCCGGGCTGCGATGTTCGCCGCAAGCAAAACGGCGTTTTCTCCCCTATTTTTTTACCCCTTTCTTCCCAAAGGTCGAAGCCCAAAAAGGACCCCGTCCGCTCCTCTCGCGGATGCGGAGCGTTTTGAGCGGAGAGCGGAAAGAAGGGAAGGGGGAAAAAAATCGGGTTCAGCCGCCCTGAGAAACAGCACCAGTTCACAGCAGCCCCGAAACGACCCCTCCCCCAAACAACCCCGGATCCGCCGCGATATCGCAATCTTTACAAATCCTCCTCATCTCAACGCGCGTTCAAAGGACATTTTTTTTTCTTCCATAAGCACACGCACAGCGATTTGGTTTTTTTTTCCCCCTCAATGCACACAACGAGAGGACGCGTTCCCAATGAGCGGATCGCTCTTTACAAACCCCCCCCATCCCCTCCTCCAACCTCCCCAAAACATCTCCAATATACACATTTTTAAATATACGTTTCCAATCGGAACAAATCTCCGTTTTTTTTTGTTTTTTTCCAAAGCCAGCGACAACGCACAGACACAAAACCAACATAATTGTGCCCATCTCTGGAGCACACAGAACGCGCACCGCCGCATATCCGTATCACTGCTATTCTCACAGCCATGGACGATTTACTAATTGCTGAAATTAGCGACTTGATAATGAATGATTCCCTTACCTTTTGCTTCATTGTCAGAATTGTCAGTGCTGGTGTCAGTGTTTTTATTCAGCTCTTTCTCTGCTTCCGAAGGGCTGATTTTGGGTGCTGGGGCGCTTTTTTCTGTTTTAATTTCGTTCGTGGATGTGTTCTGAGTATTATCTGTTTTTGTGTTTTCGGGGAAACTCACTTTAGCCACCGGGGGCGGAGGAGGAGGAGGAGGAGGAGGTGGTGGTGCTGGTTCCAGATGCTCGTTCCTTGGGTTCAGGCTCGCCCTGGATTCAAAACTTGCCTCAAACTCATTTGGATTGCTGCAGTTTGACGTCTTCTCCATGGAGGGGTAACCTTGGCTTGCTCGGTAGTAGCTAGGAACGGGGACTTCATGGTCATTTAGGCAAGGCTCAGGCATTTGGTTGGGATAGAGGGCTGCCTCTGTGGCATTTTTAGCCCTTTTGTCAGCGTTATACATACAGCAAACATTCTCTTCCTTGACATTGGTTGGGAAGGAGCAGGATGGGAGCTGTCTTGCAACAGGTTGCTCGATCCTGTACGTATTTTTGGGGTCACACCAAGTGTCTAGCTGAGAAAGGTAAGATGGATAGGTGCTGAGAGACAAGGTAGCGCTATTCACCTCGTCCCTTTTGGAAAGAGACGGGATAATTCCACAGTTCCTCATGACTCCGCAGCTGAAATCGCTCCCAGGCTGCATGTACATCCCTTGGCTGGAGGAATAATTCTCCCCTCTACAGGTACCGGCCAACGAGTCCATCAAAAACGAGTTAGAAGTCACATTGTTGGGACATGACATTTTCAGAGAGGGTTTTTAAGGAGGAATACTCCAGCCAGGGGCTGACATCTTTTTTTTAGGGGGAAAAAATATCAAGCACCATAATTATCCACGCATCGGTCCCCCCCCCCACCCCCCCCACGTGATGCCCAGGCCAATGAGGATTGAAAATGGCCTTGATGATTCAGACGGGGCCGACGTCACGGGGGTCAAGTTGTCGGGACCGGGAGCGGCACCGGTGGAGCAACAGCGACATCTGCCAGCACCGGGCCGGGACCTTCACGTTGAACAAAGGCACGGAGCCCCTCCGTCCCCCCCCCCCCCCCCCCCCCCCCCCCCCCCCCCCCCCCCCCCACCTCCCCCTTTTTCATCCCCCTCCGTTCCCCTCCCGCCCGTTTGTTTACCAACGGAGCCCCGCGTGGAAAAGGGGGCAAAGGGAAAAAAAATAATAATAATCATAATAAATACAGATAGATAGATAGCTGATAGATGAATCGAGAGATCCCCGCTATTTAAAAAATAAAAACACACAACGAGAAAAAGCGGGTGGGTTTTCTTTTATTCCCCCCACCCCCGAGCAAAATAAATAAATAAAAAATGGGGGGGGGGG